GGGTGGTTGGCTCCACACCCACCACGGCCGCTTCTCTCGCCGCCGGTAGCTGTCAGTGAGATGCCAGTGCGCGCCCGGCACCACGTGGAAAGCTAAAAATGGAGATTTTGGACAATAGTGAATTCATGACATCTGGACAGTGACATTGCCGGGTAAATACAGGGGCAAATACAGTTGCTTTCTTCTTCCTTGCTTCTCCAATGAAGAGCACAGAAGAGCAGCGCCCCTGTTAACAGATTAGGCCGCTGTTTAAAGGATTTTTTTGAACTTTTGTTTTTTTTAAAGTAGTAAGATCCTGGTGCAAAGCCTCCTTATTGTTCCCAGTTAACCAGGCCAAAAGGCAGAGATTCTCAGACTTGCTACAAATCTCAAAAGCAAGAAAAGCTTCACCTGATTTCAAAGGCTGTTCTGGTCCTGGCAAGTGTACGAGTTTCTGGAGACAAGGAAAAGCTCACCTGTTTTGTTTTTAACTGGTCGCCGCTGTACTCTGACTTCCGCAACCGCAGCAATTAGTGTGTTGTTACCATCGCGCTTGCTGACCAGGTCAATAATTTTATCTGTGATGTCTTTGACGGGGTTTTCATCTTCCCCTATATCTTCTGCAGACTACAGAAGAAGTCACACAATTAATACCAAGTGCCGGATCAGATGCATGGGTAATCTGCTATTTCTACACTTTCACAGTCAGTTAAGGCTCTCGGTACTTTTAATAGTTAAAAAGCAAACCAGACACAAACAAAAAGCCCAGCTATCGGCAGAAACCAGTAATGCAGGATTTGTGCCCCCATCCTTAAAAAGAAGGGCAAACCCCCCCCCAAAAAAAAAGCAGCGCTCAGGAGAGCATAACAGGAGAATGTTTTACTATCCCTGTTACAGTTGCCACCAGATGGTAGCTTTCAGGTATGCACATGTAACCAGGATTTCTTCCCGGTTCTTAAAGGGAATTGGGATGGAAACTAAACCACGAGAAGTGCTGACAAAGCCAGGAATTATGATTTTTATGAAAGCCACATGTTGCACACGTATCCAAGTAATTAATTACTAAGACATTTAAAAATATTCCAGCAATACTTACAATAGCAACATGTATTTCATTATTTGCCAAGTGTGAAGGCTCACAGGTAATGTAGATGGAATATTCAACAGAAACATTCTTCAGAATATTCAGATTCCTCAATTCACTGCAAATGTGCTCTGTGGTAAGTCCCTGGAAGATACAAAAAAGGTGTTGGGTTGTTTGGTTGGTTTTTTTTAAATATATATGCACACAGATACAAGACATTCCCCCTCACCCCGCCCCTGCCGTGAAGTAAACATTCTCAAGGGAAGAGGAGGTGGAATTCCCCCCAAATCAGCTTTTGTTCTTCTCCGGACACAAAAGCATTTAAGGTAGAAGTCTATATTAATCCTTCTATACCTTCTGTTTTCTTTGACAGCTTTTACTGTACTTTTACCAGTCAAAAAAGTTGTTTCGTGCTCTGGGAAGCAAGCACGCGCGTGCCACAGCATAGCACGCCGTGTGCTGCTACTTACCGGTGCCATCATTTCTTTATTAAAGGTAAAGGTGATGTTGGCACAGTTGTCTTGGTAGTACGAATCAGAATTGCATTTGGTCTTCACAGGCTGTTGATTGGAAGGCCAACATTCACCCACTGCAGCACAAGGGTGGGTGAAGCAGTGGTCGTCTTTCACAGGAACACAGGCGTGTCCAGCTGGGCAGTCGTTATGACCTTTGGCGTGTATGACACAAGGCCGAGGACCACACCAAACCTAGAAGAGAATAAATACCGCTAAGTAACCACTGGTTACAGGACAGAGGACAGCATAACGCAGAACAGGGCACAGCCGTACCTTAGAACAGGTGACTTTTCCATTCAAACACTGACAGGTATTACAGTCATCATCCCACTTAGCCCCATCTGGCATTACTCGAACGCTGGTAATGCAAGGCCTTCCTGTAACTGAAGAGAGATTGAACAGAATTATAAACTCAAAACAGAAAAAAAAAAAGTGAAAAAAAAATCCCAAACTCCTTTCCTAAGTTCATCTAAACTTAGTGATGTTTGCTTCTTCAATAAAGAAAGATACTTGCTGTAAAAGAACAGCAAACACCACCCCCCAAAACCCCATACAACTACAAACCCGCTGACATGCAATTATACAGATCTCTCTACAAGCATTATGACCAGCTGTGACATCTGGAATACCTTCTTGGCATCCTGGACCACTACGACCTGGTGGGCAAATGCAACGGTACCCGTTAATTTCGTCTATGCACGTAGCTCCGAAGGCACAGGGTGAAGACTGGCATTCGTTGATATCTATGATGGGAAGGAGAGGAAATAAAAAAGTTACGCTATCGTATCCTTTTATTTTGTCAGCAAAAACATGCGAGAGATTTGCCTACTGAAGCTTTACGTTCCCTTTCTAGTGTCTACACAGAGATGGATTCTTATTTGCAGCACCAGTGTAATTTCAGAGCGAGTTCTTTGAAGTTTCTGCTGTGTGGTGCTGACAAAGATCAAAACCTGACCCCTATGGCTACTTAAGCTTTTCAAGGGCAAGGACACATTCCTCCTTGCACAAACACACTTCCTCTCCTTTGACATACTCCAGTTTTGTCCCCCTACTAGATTCTTCAACTGATGACAACGTTAAACCCCTTTCCAGTTGTATTGCTACTATGAAACTTCTATTTCCATGGCTGTTATTAAAGAAAGTGTTAGTGTCCTCCTGCCTGTAATTATTACTAAATTACAGGGAAGCGCATACATCACCTCAGGGCTTGTATGTGGATTATTAATTGACAAGGTTTTTGGCTGGCAGGCTTTCGTCTTGAGCAGAAACCTATGGCCACAGACACACATTCTAAGTGGGAAGATTATCCTGAAGGGCATTTTGCCCACTCAGCTGAAGCAAGAGGGTTCAGCTCCAGCTCCATGGACTTGCAGATTTCTTTCATTTTTAGTGCAATTCCTGCCCTCCCCACACCTGCTACAGATCTGGGTACGGAAACAGAAGACACAGGACTTCTATCATTAATCTGATCTAGCACTTAATTAAGATGATTGCCTCGCAACAAGAGTCAAGCAAGAAAAAAAGAAGTCAAGGTAGAGTGCCTTTAAAACACTTACTGATCCTGCAGTCCGGACCTGCGAAGCCTGGAGCACATTCACAGCGGTACCAGTTGTCTCCATCCACACAAGTGCCACTATTATAACTACAAAGAAAAGGCATTATATTCATTAAACAACTGCTACAGATAAAAAGAATCTAGAATTCTAAAAACAACAAAACCAGCAAAGGATGAAAGATAAACGTATTAAACTTACCAAGGATGAGGACTGCAGTCGTTTGTGTCTGCAAAGCAAAGACAGACAACATGAAGTATGCAGACTTTGGCTAATACAACCCTACTGTCAGTAAAGAATGATCAAACTTCCCCTAATGACTAAGTTACACTTCGCTCAACTTTAACAAAAATACACTGAAATTCTCTGCTAAATTGATTCCAGGCTTCTACCACAAAATTTGTTAACTACATTGTGGAACACATGTACACAGGAAGAGATCCTTGTAAAGAATCTAACAGGGGGAAGAAAAAAAAAAGTGGAAGCAGACAGTGCTGCTTGTAGGAAAAGAGCGCAGCAGAAAACAAGACAACATCTGTCTCCACTTAGCTCATTTGCAACTTTCTCATGCCCAGGTCAAGGCTCTATCACATAAAGTCATTAAAAACAAAGATTCAGGTGATGCTAAAGCCTACATCAAACAAGCTTTCCCTTCTGGTTTCAATCTTGAGTCCAAGGGCAACAGGATGAGCTCATGTTCTCATCATGCAACACTCTGGAGAAGTTCAAGCAGAGACAACTTAGTCTGAGTACATGTGGGTCCTTCCCAGCCCTCCTTGCAGACACAAGTAAAAGAATCCCCGCTGACCACACAGGTACCACCGTTATGACAGGGGTTTGGCAGGCAGCTGCTGTTCCTTGCTGTAACAGAAACAAGATTTGCCGCTAAGTTGTTAGAAAGCCGTGAAGCCTGAGCCAAGAGGAAGAACCGAGGTCACAGATTCAGTGCCGCATCTGCTTCCTGCTGCTGATGGAGCAGGGTATTTACCTATATTACAAGTGGCTCCTTCCCATCCTGCAGGACACATGCACTTGAAAGTGTCCCCCTCGTCGTAACATGTTCCTCCGTTGTTGCATGTTGCCTCATCGCACTGGCTGTCACCTGTGAAGAACCCAAACTGTCTGTAATACCGGTGCTTTCTTAATGCAATGCAACAAGTTTAAGCAGCCTAACAGAGCACGCCTCTTATGTTTTGGAAACGCTGAACTTACGGGAGTGGCAAGTTTTTCCTTTCCACCCATTTTTACATTCACAGAAGAAGTCATTGACCAAGTCTCGGCAAGTTCCTCCATTGTGGCAAAGGTTTTTACTGCAGTCGTTAATATCTGGAGATGTTAAGGAGAGAAAACAAGCTAAGCAGTGTTTACAGAATTGACAAATGCTTAATGCTTGAAAGGTGTGTGTCCCATCCCTAATTTTGGTCTGTGTTTCAATCATGGATTAAACACTTAAGTCAGTATTTTAAAGCTTTTAAGCGCTGTCACAGAGATGAAGAACATTCCACCTCATTCCTCCAGTTTGTTTTCATTTTGTTTGTCATCTTGTTTCAGTAAACAAGCAGTGAAAAGCCCTACTACATAAACTATCCTGTCAGTCAGAGGGTAGGGGTTGAGCACTCACTCCTCTGCAATTCCCGAGGCTGACAAAATACAAGTGTGAGGTGCAGATAGGCCATTCCTAAAATGGTGTGTACTAATGCTAAGGGTTTCTTACAGCAAGTCAGCCAAAGGGTAGAGCAGAAAACTGAACAGTAGGAGAGCCAGGTTCTGCTCCCAGTCCAGCTTTGTAACTTGGGTTTAGTTCTGATACAAAAGCTTGGGACATGGTGGGAAAAAAAAGGAGGACACCTTGTCCTCTGTGGCCTTTGAGGCAGAGTTTATGTTGAACTGGCACTGGTCACTACCAGCCATTCCTTCCTGATGTTTTTCCCGAGAGATCTTTCTGCGTGCCGAAGAATGGTTAACTTACTTGTTTCACAATACGTTCCTTCCCATCCGTCACTACAAATACATTTGTAGGAGTTGATGCCATCGATACAAGTGCCACCATTTTTACAGGGGTTGCTCTCGCAGTCATTAATATCTGCAGAAATTTGGAGGAGAGGGGAGGAGGGGAAAAAAAAAAAATCAAACTAGAAGTACAGCTACTAGAAGTCATCTTCTTATTGCAGACTATTTGGTGCTACTTCCATCTCTAAGACCCTTTTGAGAGGAAGGGTTATAAACAAGATGAGAAATAGCAGAAAAACAGTGCACAAAGTGATGAGCCTGTCAATCAACAATTACTATTAAAAACAAATGAAAAAAAAAAATCAGGAGTCCTTAAGATCCATGTTAAACCTCACTATTAACTACCTCAGACCTTGTATACATAAGGTTTTTAAAAAACATACAATTCAAGGCCAGAAGGTTCATTACTGTGAACTTTCCCCAAGGCCTAGCAAATTCCAATCTGCCTCGCCCAAGCGGGATATGAAAACTTAAAGCAGTTCCAAGGTTCCCTGTGTTACAAGAAAGAAACCTTAAAGCAGTCTGGGAGGAAAGGATGGAATCTTTTTCCACAAAGAATAGGGGGCAGTAAAATATATTCTCTTTTTAGCTCTTACTCTCATGACAGTAGGTGCCAGTGAATCCTTTGTTGCATTCACAGGTGAATTTTCCACCCGCTTGGCTCTTGCATTTTCCGTGAGGACCACAGACATTTGAAGAAATATAACGAACCCCTTCTGGTGTGCTGTTGGAAGCTACTGCCACAGTACAGCTGTCAATTACTGTAGAAAAAGCAGAGACCAGCGTGAGGCTTGCCTGTTCTATCTGACTTCTTAAGCTAAGTGCAACATTTTAATTTCCAGTGATGGATATTTAAAAGACATACATGTCCTAGAATCATAGAATCATTTAGGTTTGAGACACCTTTAAGATCATCCAGTCCAACCGTAAACCTGGCAGTGCCAAATATCCTTGCTGCTTTAAAATAAAGGGACTACACCAACTGTTTGTACATAAAATAATCACAGCAACTTATTTAAGATTGCTGGACCACATCCATGGCCTGGAATAAATTCAGCAAAGCAGGCTATTTGCTACATGCATTTTGTGTCCACGTTGACCTAACACTGCCTTTCAAATAGCTGTTTTCAGATATTACTCATCATCTTGTACAAATAGAGGTATAAGGCACAGGGCAAAATTCAGCCTCTTTATACAAGAGCTACTCCAGTGACCACACTACTGGAGCTGCATTACAGCTCCAGCCAGGACAGGGGCAGAAACTATCGCCAGTCATTCCCATTCGCCTGCAAGGCAACACAAACCTTCACAAGGAGTTGTGCGGCAGTGATCTTTCAGGTGGGAGCAGTTCTTCCCTTCATAATCTTCCGGGCAGTTACAGAAATAGTCCATAGCGAGATTGAAGCACTGGGCACCGTTCTGGCAAGGATTTGGCTCACAGTAATCGATGTCCAGCTGTAAGTAGTGCAGAGAGAGGAAAGGGAAATTAAACGGGGGGGGGGATAAAAAAAAAAAAAAGGGGAGGGGAAAGGCTGAGTGAAATGGAAGTTTTATCATAGCTTTCCCTCCCTACGAGAGGCAGACGTTGTGGAATCTGACCTTTTTATCTGCTGCCTCAATGAATTGTTCATAATGCACAGAGTTTAGTTAGACTTGCAACTATTTCAGCAGACAGCACTCTCTTGATATTAAACAGCCACTGAAAGTTAATAAGCGCACAACAAAACTTGACATGCAAACTCTTGCAGTCTGTTTAAGAAAAAGAATCCTCAGCAGCCCATCAGGGGGGTTTTGTTGGTTTCTTCCCTCGCCCCCC